AGTCAAATCCAAGTCTTAAACCTTGAGTTTCCAGTCCTAAACAAGTCATAATGCGTTCTTTAATTTAAAAAACATTTAAAAAGTTTTTATAAGTTAAAAATTAAAAAATGATTGAATGAAGCCTGTACAGAAGATGGTAGAGCTGCAGTTTCACTCTACAGATGTTCTATAATTAATTCATGTAGGACTGCTAATTATTTGGTCAATATTTAGATCACAGGATTACTCATTGCCTTAGGAAACATTAAACTATTGAACTTCTAAAATGTAATACTTTATTTTTAAAAGCTATTATATGCATTACTCCAAAATCTCATATAGCCCATGAAATAAGAAACAATAATCCAACATTATTAACTTTGCAGCATCTACAGTACAAGAGATAGCAGCACAGTTTCAGACGGATGGGTCACTGAGGGGGCTCTGTGTGTGTATGTTTGTGTTTGTGTTTGTGTGTGTGTGTGTGTACACGGAGGGGAGCAGAGCAGGTGACAGGTGAACTACTGGAGTTGACGAAGTTACGTTACAGAACGCTGAAATACAACCATGGTGTTTTGTCGGGAGATGCAGTGACAGAAATCAGCGGTGAGAAAACTATAAATCGCTATGACGTTAGAAGATGCAGACACCGTGGATATTTTACAAGCACCGATCAAGTAAAGCAACACTTAAACACCTTTTAGGGAGGGCCTCAGCTGTAAAGGAAAGAGGTGCGCTGAATTTATAAAACAAAATGAGTGTCGTTGTGAAACAGCACTCAGCGCTATTATCGTTTTATCTTAATTAACTTATCATAAAATTGGTGGAAGCAGCTTCACACAACAGCTGCGGCAGTCTCTCTACACTGTTTCGACCTGACCTTTCTTTTCTCTGTGAGAAATATTACTTACTAGTCCAACTGTGTAAACAGAAAGAATGCCAGCTCAGTGGCTGTCTTGCAGCCTTTTATTTAACAAAGCTTTACCAGCATCTGACAACATCCTCTTTGGTCTGTTCACCTTTGCCATTAGTTAATGTAGAGGCTGCTGAGTCCAATTATGTTGCCCTGTCGCCAAGCTCCACACTGGCACCGCTCTCCACCACAAGCAGCAGCATTATTTTGCTTGAAACTTGGGTGGCAAGCTAGCCAACAAAGCTGGAAATGAACAGATGCAAGAGCACGTACAGTAATCTTACTATGCCTGAGTGTGTTATCTAGAAAGTACATCAACTAGAGATTTAGGCTACTGCTAGCAGCTTAACTCTGTGAAACCTCTGGCTGATTTCAACAACTGTGCTAACACTTCAAACATTAAGCACGTGCAACATCACAAGAAATAGTAAGCCAGCTAAAAGTTATTACTTATTAGTCCAACAGCAAGAAGGCCGCTCAGCATCTGTCTACATAGTGCCTTAGAAAGCTTTCACAGCAATGATAGTGACATCACTCACTCTATTACAAGTCAGTGTACCATCAAAATTACTCTGAAACTATTATTTAAGATAAGAATACTACATAATGTTTATTTGAATAATTATTAATATCAGCATGCTAACACGCATAGTAAACATGGTAAACATTGATCTACACATCAGGTGTAATTTGAATGTGCTGATGTTAGCATTCCGGTCATCGCAGTGCGTAAGTGGCTGTAGACTGTTAGTGTTGTTTCCTAAATGTGACAAAAACAAAGAACTCTGAATTTGCTACAGCTCTGATTGGTGCCGTTCACCTGCTTCTTTTCCATAGCAACGTTGGCTATGCTCATTGGTATGGCTAATGTAGCCAAAGGAGCCGAGCTCGTAATTTCTTTCATACTTTACATATTTCTGTGTTTGGCTGAATAACAATTAAAGGAATCTTGGATCCTGGTATTTTAGTATTTAGAGACATCCAAAATAGACAAAAAAGAAATTTCTATAAAGCAAGTTGAAATAATCAAAACTTAACTTAATTGAACCAAATATACCAAGAGAAAAGTTATTTGAGAGACTTCATGGGGAAAAATACTTCCAGAACCAGTGGTTCCTTCCACTTCAAACCTATCAAAAGTGGCTATTGTGAGTAACATAATGTTCGGGGCAAGAAATGACGTGTGGAAGGGAAGGGAGAGCCTGACACAGTAACCAGTCAAATCTGAGATTAGTTGTACATTTGTTGTTCCTACATTAAACTGTTTACTACTTACTTTGGAAAAAACAACAAGAAGTAAAAGCAAGAAGTAAACTGTTTTTGTTTTGATAGCAAAATTGATCCGACCACAGGCTAAGTGTGAGGGGTTGTCAGTTACTGGCAGCCTTGTTGCATTATGTGTGTTTGGCCTAATGTTTCTATCATTAGACAAAAAAACATTAAAGTCATACATTTGCTCAGCCCTCTTCCAGTACAAAGCAGTGATATTACTGCTGCAACAAACATTTACAAACAACACAGAGAGGACAGGGATGCTCATTAACTGGTCAGACCTCTGACTGTCAGGATGTTTGCAGTTTTCCTCTTTCTGCTCCTCTCACAGGTAAGCTGGGACAATTCTATATGACGCATGCAGGTGTAAATGTTCTGCAGTTTGGTTAAACCTATATTTCCATGTATTCCTGCTTGTTAATTAAACAACATTGTTATTTTTAATGTGTCAAAGAAAAATGTTAATGTAAG